TCAATATTTAGATTTTTTTGCACCCTCAGATTCCAGATTTTCAAATAGTTGTATCTCAGCCAAATGTTGTCCTATCCTAACAAACCATACATCAATGGAAAGCTTATTTATTCAGCTTATATATAAATCTCAATTTAAAAATATTGACCCTTATGACTGGTTTTGTGCTCCAGGGTCACAAATAGTATCCCAGTGATGCTAAAATAACACCAAACAGTAGTAAACGCAGTTGCTTTGGAGTGTGTTGTGGTGCACATTGGGTTTCAGAGATCACTAGGACTCTTTGTAGGTGAACACTGCAGTTTATATGTGTAGCTCATTCCAGTTAATTAGTGGTCATGCTCAACCGAGCGTTTTCAGATGAGTTCAGGTTAGTGCAGCAGTGTTTAAGGGAGTTTTCCTCTGCTGCAGTTTCTATACCTAGATTTTTAAACCAGCGTTTAGTAAAATTCTCTTCTTTTTTCTCCAGCAGGCGATGTGTTTTCTGGCATGGATTGGATGACGGAGAAGTTAGACCTGAATGACTTTGACCTGGATTCTCTCATCGGATCATGTGATTCAGACGAGTCTCCCGGTTCTCCAGAAGAGCTGCTGGCCTGTCTGGACACCGAGATGGATCTGGATCTGGATTCACTTCCGTTCGGCTCAACAGAGCTGGACCTGGCTCTGCCTCCACTGACCCTCGACCTTCAGGAGCCAGAAGAGGTCAAGTCTGAGCCTCCGGATCCCAGCTTCACACTGGAGTCCGCCGAAATCATGCTGACTCCATCCCACATCGTGCTGCTGCTGACTCCCAAAGAAGAGGCGAGCGGCGCCGATCCATCCGACAGCGACAGTGGGATCTTGGATCCCGAACCCTCGCCGAAGCCCACGGGCTCCTCCAGAACCAAACCCTACTCCAGACCCGAGCCGGATGCTGTGAAAGCCGTGCCCGGTGCTCCTAAAGTGGTGGAGAAGAAACTGAAGAAGATGGAGCAGAACAAAACGGCCGCGACGCGCTACCGGCAGAAGAAACGCACCGAGCAGGAGACGCTGAGCTCCGAGTGCGCCGAGCTGGAGACGAGAAACCGCCAGCTCCAGGAGAAAGCCGAGTCCATCAGCCGAGAGATCCGGTATCTGAAGGATCTCATGGAGGAGGTTCGGGCTTCCAAACACCGCAGGCGCAAAGCCCAGGATGCTGTCAGCTCTGGTTAGGGTTAGATGCTTCCCCTGCTGTTTCTGATCTAAACTCATGCATTCTCTCACATTCCCTCGAGTCGTTTATCGTCCAGAAAGGGGCTCATCATCAGTCAGAGTTGTTACACTGAATCTAGTGCTTGTAAATAGGCTTCACTTGTGCAGTTTAAACTGGCTAAACATGCTAGATCTGTCACGGTGTAGTGTGTTGGCTGTATGCTGTTTTCTATTAAAGACGCCAGCAAAATCATGTCTTGTGTGGGCTGCTTTCTTTTTTGTTTTTTTTGGTAAAGTACTCAAAACATATATTGTAATAAAGGAAAAAAACACATTTGATGACTACTACGCCCCCAAAACCTCCCTCTTCCCCAACCCAACACACCTCAGGACTAAAGATATCTAAAGTAAACCACATAAATACCAAACGAGTATAAAGATTGGCAGTAATAACTGAAAGAGTAATGATAATACCTGCGGGCTGGATATGTTTGTTTTTTTACTAGAAACACTTGAGATTTTCTCAAACATCTTTAGTCTATTAGACATAACTAGGGTTGCAAAGGGGTGGAAAGTTTCCGGAAACTTCCAAAAAAATACTGGAATGTTTCCCAAATTTACTGGAAATTTTCCACCTGTTTGCAACCCTAGACAATACGTAGGTAAATTAGAGTGCGTTCATGTACCTAATGTGTGTGGTTCATGAAACAGACCTGTAATGTGGCTATAGGTGCACTGTGCATTAGAATGCATGTGAAAAGCGTGCATGAGCTGATATTAAAATGCATCTGGTCAAATTTAAAGAAATGCAGCAGTAGTTTTAACTAGTACTCCATATGTGATTATGAACAGTTATTGGCCCAAGGTTCTCTGATTGATCTGTGACATCTAGGTTTTTATAATAATGCTAAAATCAGACTCGGCTCATGTTGTTATGCTTGATTTTGTCCTTTATGTTCAAACGGTCACGATGTCCTGGTTCACACTGACCTGCTGTTTGTTTTTACAGAGTTGGTCAAACTTCATGATTATATGTGGGCTGTTTCTCAATCCCCTTTACTGAAGAATATGATTTTCAGAGGAATTGACTTCAAATATGTTTTCTGTAAAGATCAATTATGTATGAGAATATCTGAACGGTGGTTGATCTATGTTCGCTGTCATCGTGAAGGAGACGCTCATTTCCCTCAGATTCTCAGAATTTGACTGGACGGACGAGAACAGACTTTACCTGTAAACAAAACAACCTGCTCATGTTTTTAATTTCAAAGCAAATGTGGGAGTTTTCCTGACTGCATCCAAGCAAGCAAGCACGTTTATTTATATAGCACTTTTCCAAAGAAGTTGATGCAGTTCAAAGTGCTTTACAAACAAAAAGGAATTTTGAAGGAAAAAAAAAGAAATCCATCATGACCTGCAGTTTGAGCAGAATGGCCATAATTATTATGAAGTAGCCAACGGGTCTATTTTCTAAAGAAAACAATTTTTGGATTACATGTGGGCTGTTTCTCAATCCCCTTTACTGAAGAATATGATTTTCAGAGGAATTGACTTCAAATATGTTTTCTGTAAAGATCAATTATGTATGAGAATATCTGAACGGTGGTTGATCTATGTTCGCTGTCATCGTGAAGGAGACGCTCATTTCCCTCAGATTCTCAGAATTTGACTGGACGGACGAGAACAGACTTTACCTGTAAACAAAACAACCTGCTCATGTTTTTAATTTCAAAGCAAATGTGGGAGTTTTCCTGACTGCATCCAAGCAAGCAAGCACGTTTATTTATATAGCACTTTTCCAAAGAAGTTGATGCAGTTAAAGTGCTTTACAAACAAAAAAGAATTTTGAAGGAAAAAAAAAGAAATCCATCATGACCTGCAGTTTGATCAGAATGGCCATAATTATTATGAAGTAGCCAACGGGTCTATTTTCTAAAAGAAAACAATTTTTGAATTTACATATTACCTTAAAATATGACTCAAATATGTTTTTCTAAACTCAAACTCTTTGGGATCCCTGAAAATTTTTCTAATCAGGTGTTCAAATGAGGTGAAGCATAAAAACAACTTCCAAGCTCAGGAGAAGAGAAATGATCAGTATAAAACCGATAAAGCTTTACATTTAGTCCTTTAGCAGACACTAAATGTGGATGTTGAAAAGCTTAATTGCTCAATCTAAATTAAAATTTCTCTCTTCTCTTACATGATATTTGCATGCAGATTTAATAGATTATATGGAACATTTGCGATTTTTTGTGACATCTAAATATTTGAAATGTAACACATTTGTCACATCGCAGGACCATTGAAGTGAATATCTAGTTTAAAAGGTATTTATTTATTATTTATCTCTAAACCTTTTCACCTAAATATCTGCATGTGAGTTTGAGGAGAGCTGTGCTGCTGTTGAGGAACAGGAGTGTGTTTCGTCTGGACCGCAGGGTTTCTCACGGCTCTGAGCTGAACCCAGTCTGTTCCTGTAACACATGCAGTGAAGGACACAACACACACACACACACATTTGTCAAAGCAATCGCTCCAGCTCGCCCACAGTGAGGTCTTCATGATGAACCTCAGGGTTTCTAACCAAGAGTCTGATGCTTTTCATATTCAGAGAAGGACAGAATCTGATCCGACTGCTCAGTTCATTGGGTTAATATGACATTAGCTTTGTTAAGAGATTGTGTGTGTGTGTGTGTGTGTGTGTGTGTGTAGGGCCGTTTCTAGCCAATTTGACGCCCTAGGCGAAATCCCTATTGCCCCCCCCCCAATTATATATGTATATATATATATATGTATATACAGTATATGTATATGCATACATATGTATATTCTTTTCAGACACCAGTTGATTGTCAAATTCAAATTGGTTGTCATAGTAGCGACACTAATTTAATCTCTAGTAGCTAAGACATTGCACATAATTTACACATAAATCAATTTTATTACATTTGGATTTGGATGCATGTTTAGATATTATCAATGGCTCCTTTTTTGTCTTTATCTGTTTTTTGTTAAAAAAAATGTTTTGTTGTTTCTTGAAACATTGATTTAAAGTGTCAGTTATTGCATTATTATTTAGGTCAAACCCTTTGTTACCCCAAACTACATATAAAAGCTTGATCAGTGGCATAAAAGTAACCAATGCAGCTACTTAATCCTTTGCTACTCATTAAGGTGTGAACTTCGCCTTTAAATAACGTGACGCTCTGCCCGTGAGTGTGTGTGTGTGTGTGTGTGTGTGTGAGTGTGTGTGTGTTTGTGTGAGTGTGTGTGTGTGTGTGTGAGAGTGAGTGTGTGTGTGAGTCCTGTTCATGGATTATCTGTTAAACTCACTGATCTGCTCAATCAGCTCAGGCTTCATCTGAGACAGAAAATAACTCTTGGAGAAGAGTTTCACATCTCAATTTAAAGCTAAAATTAGTTTGTTAAAGTGACATTTCACACATTTTGCAACAAGCTGACTTACTCTGATATGAATAAGCCATATATGTATGCTGCACTATTTTTGTATTGCACTATGAAACTAATTAGTAAGTGCTCTGACAATGTGATTGTAGCATTAGTCAAGCCAGTAAAGCACATTTCAGCTGAAGACTGATTCAGTGCAGTGTGGTTTAGAGCGGATCAGACCGGTTCAGTCAAACAGCAGGAACTCAGTCACCTACTCACTGTTAATAACAATAACTCACGCACATAATCGCTGCATGCTTGTGAACAGATATGCGTTTGCCAGCAAAAGATCAAACTATTTCAATGACTGAATTAAGTTGTTTTATTATTGTCATTTCCAACTCTGCTGTTAAAACAACACTACAGAATACAGAGCTATGATACAGCAATCACCCGCTTTATCTCTGGTTCTTTGCACTGGAGGACGCTAAATAGATTTTATTTTTAAAAGAGAGGAAGGGTCTCTGGACTTTACCTGAACACCTGAGCATTGGCGCCATCTGCTGCTCGAGATTAAACTCACAGCGCAGTTCCGCTTCCGGATTCATCTGATGCTGAGCAGAAGAACAGAGCTCGTCATGCGGAAGTCCGGCGAGTTATGAACAGGGTTTGAGTTTATGATATTTCTCTGAAGCTCTGCAGGTGTAATGAGAGTCAGTCCGCGGCGGGTTCTGAACTGCGCTGTGTGCTCTCTCATACTCGGAGGTGTTTTAGGAAGGTAACGTTACAGAAATAACGTACTGGAGAGCATTTCTACTCTGCGTGTTTAGAACTGTGTGTTGAACAGCATGCTATTATGATGCAATGTTTGAGCAAACTGATACATTGTATTTTTCAGGATTCACAGATGAACAGAGAGTTCAAAAGAACCGCATTTATTTGAAACAATCTTCTGTAACATTATAAACGTCTGTACTGTCACTTTGTTCAATTTAATGCGTAAAAGTATTCATTTGTTTTCTTTTATATCTTACTCCTAAATTTTGTAAACTTTTAAGTATCACAGTTTATTCAATATAAACTATATAAATTTTGTGCAGCACAACTGTGTTCAACATTGATAATAATCAGAAATGTTTCTTGAGCAGCAAATCAGCATATTAGAATGATTTCTGAAGATCATGTGACACTGAAGACTGGAGTAATGATGCTGAAAATACAGCTGCGCATCACAGAAATACATTACAGTTTAACAGAGATTCACACAGAAAACAGCTGTTTTAAATTGTAATAATATTTCAAATTTTTTACTGTATTTTTGATCAAATAAATGCAGCTCTGATGAGCAGGAGATACTTCTTTAAAAGATTTATAAAAATATCACCGACCCCAAAGGTTTGAACGCCAGTGTACTGAAGTGTACTAGTTGGAGCAGAAGTGATCTTCTGTCATGATTTACTCGCTTTATCTTGTTCCAAACCTGTCGGACTGTCTTTATTCTGTGGATGCCAAAAGAAGACATTTCAACACATTTCAAGTGTTTCTTTGTCAATACAATGAAAGTCAACAGGGTTCAGTTGTTGTTTTGAAACCTGTTGATTTTTAACAGTATAAGATGATGGAATTTAATTTTTTTTGTGAGCTATTTCTTTAACCCTTTAACCGTCACCCCCATTCATGAATTAATACATTTTGTAATATGATTTTGAAGAAATAGAAGGGGGCAGTGGGGAAAATATCTATTTAGGAGTCTTAGACCTTTCCAATGATAAATGTGACCCTGCAGCACAAAAGCAGTGTTAAGTCGCTGGGGTATATTTGTAGCAATAGCCAACAATACATTGTATGGGTCAAAATTAT